TGAGTGGTTCGAAAAACAACCACCCGTTTTTTGTGGTTGTTTGGGCAAGGTTGCTGGTTTTAGAGAGGTGGAAAAGGAGGGGGTAGAGAATCTGGTGGCTTTGGCAGGGAGTAGGGGTGTTTGATTGGGTGGGGAAGTGATCGGTGCTGCCTAGCTGGCGGTGGGGACCTGGGCTAATTTAGGGTTTTTTTAATTATTTTTTTGTCAATAATATGCTGACACGTAAGCAATGTGGAGCCCATTAACGGATTTCATCCATGAAGTAGTTAAGTGATGGTAAAAAACAAATTTTAAACTTTTAGTGGTGTTAAAATAAAAGGTGGATTTTTTTTTTTTTTGTTGTTGTAGTGTTAAAATCCATTTTTTTTCGTTTTTTTGTGGTGTTAAAATTTAAATTTTCCATTAAATTATCTTGATTGTTACATAAGTTAATTTTTAATTTTTTAATGATTCAGTAATGTTTATAAGTAATAAGTACAAATTATATGGTCAAATAAATATAAAAATAAAACATTACTTATATATTTGCATTGCAAAGTTTCATATGCATCTTTTACAACATTCTTTTTAGTGTATGTATTTCACTATGTGATCCAACATGTAATATATTTTGTTAAAAATGATATCTATTATTAAATCATCATATTTGATTTAATCTTTCTATAAGGTGACCGATAATAGTAAATTTTGCTGAAAAATTAAAATTGTCATTTTATGTATTGAATTTATATGTATTTGAAGATTTAATTTAAAATTTTTTATCAGCAATATATGGAATGATATAATCTTTGGTTATAATTTTTACACATTTTCTACAATACAAATGACATAAATCTTTATTGTTGTTGTAACATATATCTTGTGTAATTAGGTTTCTCATAATTAGGGTTGTACACACCTATATATATTGATTAATGAGAATACTCCAACTAAGGAGAATTACACTATTCTACATGGTATCAGATTCCTCTTAGGGTTTTATTTTCTCTCTTTTCCCCAAAACCCTATTCAATCTCTTAGACCTCCATAGCCGTCCATCTCCTCCTCCTACCCGTACTTCCAGCCCTCCTTGGCCGGTGACGATGACTCTGCTCTCCCTCATTCTCCTCCCAAAACCAGCCCCTTCCACCCGGCTTTTGCCGTCAGCAACATCAAATCCCTTATGCCCGTGACTCTTGATCACGAGGACGCCCAATATGCTACTTGGGTTGAACTTTTCCAAATTCATGCTTGTGCCTACAATGTTCTTGACCACATTGATGAGAAGGTGAAGCGTCCAAAGGATATTGATGATGAAACGTGGAAGAGATTAGATGTACTTGTTAAGCAATGGATATACACCACTATTTCCAAAGATCTTGTTAATACCATCATGAAACCGGGTGCTACGGCTCAGGAATTATGGAGACGACTCGAGGAGTTGTTAAAAATGATATCTATTATTAAATCATCATATTTGATTTAATCTTTCTATAAGGTGACCGATAATAGTAAATTTTGCTGAAAAATTAAAATTGTCATTTTTATGTATTGAATTTATATGTATTTGAAGATTTAATTTAAAATTTTTTATCAGCAATATATGGAATAATATAATCTTTGGTTATAATTTTTACACATTTTCTACAATACAAATGACATAAATCTTTATTGTTGTTGTTGTTGTTCATTGTGCTCAAATAGGAAGGTTATATTATAATAATATGTTAAATATAATTCTAAGAAGATTTGACTAAATAAAATAGAGGGAAAAAAAACAGCAACAGAAAGTGACACTTGTCAATTCTGGTGTCTTTTTTAGTATTATGCAATTATGTAATGTAATGTAAATGTAAATGTAATTGATATATAATAAATAATATGTGTACTCGGTAAGATATACATAGTAAAAGATATTGGATAATATTGTATGCAATAAAAAGAAATGGAAAATATGTGAATATATTTTGTAATAAGTAAATCACAATTATATGATTTAGTGAATATTTTTTATTTTTTTAAGCATGTGAATCAGAATTATTGGAAAGAAGTGAATATTTTTTTATAAGGAAGTGAATAAAAAAATGTTTTGGAGGGAAATAAAATGCACCAAGAAGTAACACATATCATTCTTGGTGTCTGTTTTATTAATTATGTTATTGATTGATTGATTTTATTATTCAGTATTTCTTCAATCCTATCAAGCAAGGTTTGATTTAGTGGGAAAATTTACATCTTACGGCAATCAAATTTTATATTCTATTGAAGGTACGTTAGGGAGGAGATTCCTATACCCTTTATCCTAACTCCCAATGACCTAACCTTTAATTTGGATTGGATTGACCTATTTTCTTACCACTAAATCCGCTTCACTTTTATATGGATTCACGTGGTGGATTATAGGGCTTGGGATAGACTTTAATCAATCGCAAGACTTGAGGGTTCAATTTTGAAATCCCGATCAAAAGTGTTAGTTTAATTGCAAAAACTATAATAATCGCAAGCTCACAATTAAATCAACAATTTAATCAATTCAAACAATCATAAACACTCTTTCTGAATTTTATTAACGAAAGAAAATATATTTATAGGACATATATCCCACACTAACTAGAGTTCTAAAAGATAAAAACTAATTATTCTATTGTAGTTGTGAAACAAAGATCACAATAAGATCTAAAATATCTTATCATAAAACTATAACTAACAAATCATAGATAATCTAAAACTCTCCATAATCCTAATTTGACGAACCAAATTGAATAAAAAAACTAGTTTTAATCTTAATCTGTAAAATACTCCAGACCCAATAACTAATCTAGCTTGAGTACCCACTTTGTTCCCACATCACACTTGTTGACTTGTATACAAATGGTGTAACATTTAAACCATATACAATATGGAGTATTTCACGAGATATTTTTTGTAAACGGATTTTTAAAAATTTATTTTTTATAGAAAAATTATGGGGTTAGCATATACCCCTCGGGGTACAATTAAAGTAGGCCACTGGTCACCGAAGAAGACAAGAATGTTGGCTTGTTGCTTATGCTAGCTAGTGGCCATGTACAGCGATAGGATGACTCGGAAAGATTTTTGGATCACAATTGTTTAATGTTATAACCATATTCACAATAGATTTTTTGTAAATAAGAATGTTGGCTTTTTGCTAATGCTAAGCCGTGTAGTGACATGTACAAGTTATAGGATGAAACTTAGTTTTCATTGTGTACTACATTTGCAATAACAAAAACGTGGATTTTTGGACCACAATTGTGCGATGCTTAAACCATATACAGTACGGAGTATTTCACGTACAAGAGATTTTTTATAAACAGTTTTTTGTTTTTTCTTTTTATAAAAAATTTACAGGGGTAACACGTGTACAATGTAGGTCCGTTAGTGATGACCCAGTAGATAAGAATGTTTGCTTGTTGCTAATGCTAGCTGAAGGCCAGGTAGCGACATGTACAGTGATAGGATGAAATTAGTTTTCATTTTAATACATTTGCAATAACAAAAATGCGCGTGGATATGTATATTTACCTATGTACTCAGAAAGATTTTTTGACCACAATTGTGTAAAGACGGTAAAGTTTATAAAGTTTTTTAAGAGAATTTTTTTATTTTCTTTTTTATAGGGGTAGCACAGTGATTGGCTTGTTGCTAAAGCTAGCTAGAGACAAGTAGCGACATGTCAAAACTCAATAAGATTGGTATTCACCTCGCACAAACTAGATAGATTTTCATTGTAATAGAGTAAAAAACATATTTTTGAGCATCAATCGTTAGCTGAACCTTTTGGTTAACTTGACCTGTTAATACATTGGATTAAGCATAAGCCATGTCAAAGATGAGTTTATAGTACATGTACAAAGTTACCTTACAAAGTTACAAGTCATGTGGGATTGCATTCTAAATTTGTGATTTTGAGTTAAGTCGTCCACCAAATTTTGAATTAATCACTCTCCCTTCTTTTACTGTCACAATTATTAACAATTCGCTAGATATTTAAAGATTAATCATCAAGACGTCAATAACCCCTTCTCATATCCTTTCAACTCGTTATAATAATTGTAGTATTTCTTCTGTATTAACTATGTTGTTACAATATCTAATTCAACCTAATCTATCTTGACCTAACCATGATTTTTACCTCACTAAACCAACATAGTTTTACAACAATCTTATATTAACCTAAATTTTTTTTTAACTTAAACATAATTACTTCGATTCATGTAATTATTTATTTAATTAATTGCTAAGAACTTTTTTTACTTAAATATGACACAACAACATGTGGCCATCCTCAATTTATCTATAATTAGTTCATTTCTTATTGTCTAATTTATATAGATATGGTAAGGTATTGACAAATTGTGACTTAAAAGATAAAACTTATACATGACGGACCTAATATACTAACAAAACTAAGAAATATTAATGACACAATATGAAAGATAATACATAAAAGACCTAATAGTGACCCAATGATAAGGTATTAACTCAATAATTACCCTGGTTTAATAATGCCCTTATTTAAATATATAATTTGGTCATGTTGACCCAAATTTAGACAAACTCAATGCAATAAGGTTTTGAATTGGGTCGGAATTGACTTAATAATGACTCAGTTGTATCATAATCAAACTAAAATGAATAAAAATCATTTGAACCGTAATCAATCCCACCCAAAGTCATTTGACCCAAAATTAATCCAATCCAGCTAATATAAGTTTGAGCTCGATACGAATTTATCAGAAGCGAATATGAATGAAGTTGACCCAACCAAAACACAACGCTAAATCGATTGATCTTTACCCGATCCTAACCGAGGTGGGTAAAAATGGTAACTTAGATATTTTATTACTTAATGTAGAAATATGTTTGGTAAATAGATGATTATTTAAAGCTGATTGATTATGTAAAATGATCAATAAGCCAATTGTGGGGTAATTAGTTCATATACTATTTTTTTTCTTAAATGAGGGTATAAGTATCATTTCACTATAAGAATTGAATAAACTAATTAAAAAAGCCCCTAAAATGAGCTTTTTGAAAAAGAGCTTATTTAGTAGAATAACCTCTTTAAATAAGCTTCCCATCAAACACCTTGAATTAGCTTATTTATAAAGTACGTTGGAGCTAGTAAGATATTTATAACGATAACATGTCGTACATTATTGTTCTTCATAAAACCTTCTTAATCAAGAACATTATATATAATGATGAGTACATGCGTAGTAATGCACTTTGGAGCGAGGAAGACGCCGCGGCAATTAAGCTTTAATGAAAAAAAACATTAGGCCAGTACTGAAATAATCATCTGGCCTTATTGGAAATAGACTTAACCAAATCATACGGTGGTCATCTGTGAGATTATCAATACTACCATCGATAGCCCCGCATACTATATCTTTCTTGGTTGCAAACGCATCGATCGTATTACTTGATGGACAGTACTCGAGTTGGTAAAACCCCGGATCACCTCTTCTTTTCTCTATCTTGAACCAATTGGCGGCGGTCTGAGGGCTCGGGTTTCCAATACCACCTCCGGTAGACAAGAAGAGATCACCGGAGTTGGCATCGGGGGTAAGTTGCCATGCCCCTTGCGAGCAGGCACTAAATGAGTTGTTGAAGACTACGTTGACGTCTGAGGAAATGTGGACATGTTTATGTGATGGGTCTGATGGGAGGAACTTTATTGGGGATTCGCGGTACCAGCCTTCGCCTAATTGGGCTACGTATTGAGGGCATTCGGGTTGGTTTGGTTTGGATGCCGCGACTATGCCACCTCCCCATCTAAATGTTGACTGGGGAGTACGGACGTAGTAAAATGAACCTACTTCGAGTGGGTTCCCTTCGATATCTAGGACAAGGGAGTCTACGTTGTTGGCGGTTGTGGCTGAAGAAACCATGGAAATAGAGAACATAAGGAGGATTGTGGTGTAAAGTTGGAGATAAAAATTAGCCATCTTTTTAGGGTTTGTTCGTTCTTTATTTTTGGAGTTTGAAATATGATGTAAACAAGAGCTCTGGAACTTAAATATATATAAAAAAAAAAAAAAAAAAAAAAAAGCTATGTAAACCACCTCACATTTCTTCAGACCTCAACATTTGAAAATTCTATTACCAAAAATTTTAAAATTGTACTGTTGTGATTTAATGATTTTTAAATTATTTTTAAATGCTAAAATTTATTTTTCTCATTTTAGGAATTCGTTGTAAATATTTGAAAATTAGTCATTCTAATTTTTTATTTTTTTCAATATATATTATTTTCTTTACAATATATAACAACTTTGTTTCTGTTTTATTTATTTATTTATATATATATATACCGATACATGGTGCACTCGGGTGCAGGGATGGATACAGCTAACACCAAGGGTATGTATGTGCATAACCTACATGTGCATTAAAATAAAATTTATAGCAGCTTTATGGCAAACCATTAAGCGTAGCTAGCTGTTTATCTAATTGTCTATTAAGCGTTATTTGCTTCCTTGAATTGTCACTTTAGTCTATAGTTGGAATCCATTGTTAAACAATTTTCCCAACTATTATTTTTGCTGACTACTACATGTTAAGATCGTTTATGCAAACAGGTTAGGATTATTGTCTATTAAGTAAATAATTGTGCACACCTTGTTTGTAAATTCTGAATACGCCACTACCCAGGTGCATAGATTAAGAATTATGTATAAAGAAGTTTTCTGATCATAATTATCCCGCCAAGTGAACATTTCACATAGGAAAGTGGAGCTTAAAATGTGTTTTGATTATGTGGTAATTTATTGCTCGAAGTGTCAAATTTAGTCCATAAACTATTTTTTGTCAATACTTTTGCCAACTCAGCATAGAATATTAATAATTTAATTAATGTCGACGGAAAACAAATGACACATACCAAAGTAAGATCCCTAAACTCTTACTGATTATGATTAGTTTCTAAACTATTTGGTCAGAAAACACCTACATTGGCTGTTGAAGGATCAAAAGTGACATTTAAGAGTTAAGGGATCAAAAGTGCATAAGTAAAATAGTTTATTAGAGACTTTAATTTTACTTAACATTTTTTTTTTTCTTTCACTTCATACCGTTTTGCGTCATTTATTCAAAATATATAAATAAATAAATAAAAATTACATTATAATTTTTTTCTCGCCGTTGAGGATCATTATGTAATAATCTTTGAAAAAACATTTACTCGTACCATAATTGTCACCGATTATATTTTGGATTAAATAACAAGATAGCATTTGCTTGGGACGTGGACCACATTGTCCACATAGTGGTTTAACTGGTGGTCTTCAGAATTTAGAACTGGTGGTTTAACTGGTGATTTTGAGGTTACTACTACTATTATTTAATGGGGGTTACTATTGTTGTTGATAATGGAATGATTTTGATGATGGTTATTATAAGGTTACTGTTTTTTGTACCGGGGTTACTGAGGGGTTTAATTTTATGGGGTTACTAAAAAGATTAGTAAAGGGGTTACTAATGCTATTATTTAATAGGGGTTACTAGAGTTGTTGATAATGGAATGATTTTGATGATGGTTACTATAAGGTTACTGAATTTTCTACTGGGGTTACTGAGGGTTTTACTTTTGTGGGGTTACTAATCTGAATTTTCTACTGGGGTTACTGAGGGGTTTACTTTTATGGGGTTACTAAAAATATTAGTAAAGGGGTTACTACAGTGGTATTTGAGGGGATTACTAGAGGGAATTATAAGCAAATGCTGAAAGGGTTACTGAGGGAGTAATATAAGGGGTTACTAAATTTCACTTATTACGTTACTTATCTTAATTTTTAAAATTTACAGGGATTCAGTATGTATTTTTTTACTACCTCAAATAAAAAAAATTTACATACCTTGGTGTTCAATATTTTCTAATAGAAGTTGCTTGATTTCTGTAATTTTGTTTTCGATCTCCAAATTCATGAATGAATCTTCAATCTCTTCGATTTCCATTGATTCTTATGAATCCAGGAAATTGTATTCTTCGTCTGCCATGGAATTTAGTAAAAAAGATGAAAATTGAGGTGAAAAATCAATGTGTTAAAAGCGTCGGTGTTAAAAGTGAAAAAGTTTTAAAAGAAAAATTGGAGTAAATGGCAAATGAGTGGCGGCGTGTTTTTTAGGTTTTGGGAAGCGTGCGTGAGACGCTTTTTGGTTGGTTTTTCCAGAAATTTCCAAAACGCGCGTTTTTGGAAAGATATTTCATTCTCCGTTATTTTGGTGAGTCCTGTTATGCCGTACGGTGTGGCCGGGGTACCAAAAACGCGCTGTACATGCACCCATTAATATTTATTTATTAATTCTTTATAAGGAAAAAAAATTGGATTTATATCCTTCACTTATTATCAATATATTTCTTGGTTATATTATCCTTTAAATATTGCATAGTCACCCAAGTAGATAAGATTATTGTTGGCTTGTTGCTAATGCTAGCTAGAGTCCAAGTAGCGACACGTACTGATAGCTTTCATTGTACTACACTTGCAATAACAAAAACGTGGATCTATATTTACCTATGTACTCTCAATGATTTTTAAACCACAATTTGTGGTATACAAACTTAATAGATTTTCATTTGGATCAAGCGTAAACCACCATATCCACGCAGAGTCTACCAATTTGAACAAACACGGCAGTAGAAGACCTTCAAAATTGATGTGAGTTTACCGACATGCCCCTAACTAGATGAATGAAAAATCGGAAATACCCTTTCCACACTTATATTTTTTTGAAAAACATTCTAATGTTGTGATATTAATTAAGCTAACTCACCAAATTTTTGATTAATCACTCTCCCCATTTAATGAGAAGACATTGTGTGAGGTAAAATGAATACTTCCTCTGTTTTTTTTTACTTGACCTACTTTGACTTTTACACTATTCACCACTCCTCCTTTGACCGTGTTTTGTGAATAATATGTAAGGAAAAATATATTCATGTTGGATCATTTTGAATTCGTCTCAGTAAGTACTATCATAACATATAACTTTTATATATTTTAATTATAGAGAATTAAACTTATAGACCGTTAAAGTTTTACATTGACAAGCGTGATAAAAGAAACAGGTCAAGTAAAAAAGAACAGAGGAAGTATAAGTTATTTGATATTTTATATATATTTTTTTAATATAATTTTAAAATTAAATATAAGTTGTTGGACATTTCATAAATACTCTTAAAACTTCCATGTAAATTATTCATGGTCAAACTATATATAATTTGATGTGCTACTTACAATGCTCTATATAGATTATTTAACTCAAGATCAGCTAATTCTATTAGACAACATTGATCATCTAGTGTATTATATATATGCAAAGTACAATTTCGAGAGGTCATGTTTACAAGGAAATAGATGCGGTCAATAATTTCCACCTATTGGACTATCATTATTTTTATCATTAATGTACCCTAATTGTGGCCCGTGATATTTTGGAGAACTTGTGGACATACAATAATTCCCCATATATTAAAATACCATTATTAAATTAACTAGAGACATGGTGTTTGAAACTGTGAATTAGAGGTAACAAAATCTAACTCGTGTGACCTGATTTATTCTGATCGACTCGAAAAAAATCATGTTTTAAATTTCTACTCATATGAATACAATAATTTAGCATGACTTAATTTGAAATAGATATAACTCGACCTGATCCAATATCACCCAGTCCGACGCATATACTTGAATTGACATCTAATTGTTGTCTTTGGACCACTACATATCCACAATAAAAGCTCAAAAATATATGAGGCCAATAAATGTTATGTGTACGACGTCTAATTTATATCATTTTATGTTGAATAACATTGTTAAATTTATGTGTACAAAGTACCATTCATATCAATTTTTAGCCAATATTTTATTTGCACTAATCTATTTAACTCCTTTTATATTTGAAAGTGACATATTTTCTCAATGTGACTATTTTTTTTTTTAAAGTATTATACTTTATTTTTTAATAAAATACTACGAAATACGAAGTACATTTTATCATTAATTTTTCTTATATCAATGTCCTCTCATTATTAAGCTTCTCTAATACTACAAAAATACATTCATAATTAAGTAATCAAATGAAGAGAAATTTCCAAGATGAAATTCTTTTATTGATAAGATCAACATCATACATTATTGTTCTTCATACAACCTTCTTAACAATCTATATGCTTAAGTACATGCGTAGCAACACTTAAACTTTAATGAAACTTAGAATGTGGAAGAAGTCTGCCCTTCTTGGAACTAGACCTAACCACAACAAACGGTAGTCATCTGTGCCCGAAGTAGCGTCAATAACGCCACATACGATATCTTTCTTAGCTGCAAACCCATTGATTGTACTACTAGACGGACAATATTCGAGCTGGTAAAACTCCGAACTAGCAATACTTTTCTCTATCTTGAACCAATTAGCTGCGGTCTGAGGGCTCGGGTTTCCAATACCACCTCCGGTAGACAAGTGGATTTCACCGGAGTTGGCGTCGGGGGTAAGTTGCCATGCCCCTTGCGAGCAGACGCTAGAGGAGGTATTGAACATTATGTTAAGGTCAGAGGAAATGTGGATGTGTTTTTGTGATGGGTCTGATGGTAGGAATGTAATTGGGGATTCGCCGTACCAGCCTTCGGCTAATTGGGCTACGTATTGAGGGCATTCGGGCTGGTTTGGTTTGGATGCCGCGACTATGCCACCTCCTATTCTGACTTTTGAAAGTTCTGTACGGACGTAATAAAATGAGCCTACTTCGAGTGGGTTCCCTTCTACATCTAGAACAAGGGAGTCTACGTCGTTGGCGGCTGTGGTTGATGTAACGATGGAAAGAGAGAAAATTAGGAGGATTGTGGTTGAAAGTTGGGAATAAAGATTAGCCATTTTTTTGGGTTTTGTTCGTTTTTTACTTTAGAAGTTTGTGAAGAAAAGCACTAGTACTCTAGAGCTTATTTATAAAAAATGCTAAGTAAACCAACTAGTGTTTGATCTGTGCACCCAGGTGCACCATGCGTTTGGTGTACTC